TTTTAATATTCCTTTTTGGAGTTTGGCCTAGAATGTACATCAACCCACTAGTTTAGTTTGTAAACTCTGCCTAACTCCTTCTTTGAAGGATTAAAGCTATATTTGAATATATTCTATCTGCTAGTACTTTTCCCCTTCTTCATAATTCCTCTATAATCTTACATATATAATTTACTTTTCATTGGCTAATATTTACGCTTAATGTACTTGTCATGAGTGTCATCTCTGCATTCATTTCAGCTGACCTAGCCTCAGATTTTAGTTTTGGGTCCTCTTTTTGTCTTTGCTCAGGGTGCATGAGTGACTGTTTGCAAACAGGCTATTTTGTGCTGACAAGTCGTAGTCTGAATGGCGGGCACACACAAAAATACAGATTGCACGTTTTGGATCTGAGTGTGAACTGGCCTCATTAGCAGCCAGTCTACTAGGTACACTATACCCATAAAGCATGGATTGAGAAGCAAAAAATATTTTCTGAATTTTGGTTCTGCTCATCTGTCTCGGTAAATGATTCATTCCCTAGTGCACCTTTATAAGAGAAAATGTCTGATGATTACGCTTATCTTGACGTACACATCACAGAGCTAATATGAACCATTTAGCCTAAAAGGACTGAACCTCTTTTAGCACGAAAATAAGATCTGTTAATATCATGCTGTAGTATGCAAAAACCACCCTAAGGACTGTCTCGTCCTCTTTAAAAGAGAAAATTTCATTTCATTCTTATAAAAAATGTGCATAAAACCACCATTATAATATTGCATACCAGTCACATGTATGCCTACGTAGGATATGTATCTTCCTTTTAGCACAAAGCAAGCTACCTAGGTGACCAGTAATAGGAAACCCTGCAAAATTGAATGCTTTCCTTACCTGCCATTAGTTCCCACTTACTTTCATTGAATTCACAGGGCAGCTGCATCCTGGAAATGCCTGTTTTCACTGACCACAACTTCAGCAAACAGAGGTCCTGGTGTGTCTCTCAAACTCCCGGCTTCTGCTGAAGTCTGGATACACACGGGCTGAGGGCAGCTAGTTCCACTGATCAGGGTCTGGTTTCTTCTGCTTTGTTTAACTTGGTTGTGCTTAGCTTCCGTCTGTCTGTCATCCTAGAACAGCGGCCAGAGACAGCCCGCGTGGTGTCTCTTGGGCAGGAAGGTCAAGTCCCCTGGCATGAATTGCATTCAGCAGCTGAGTAAATAAGACAGCTTGGAGATGGGCTTTTCTTCATAGGAAACCAGATAGCCTTTTTGATGATAAAATATTTATTCCCTATTATCTTCTTGTTGCCAAGACTACTGCTTTTGGCACATTTCTTACAAGGAGCTAGAGGTTACAGGACTTAGTAGGGTAGATTTTATTTTGAAAAATATCTTGAATGATACAATATTGTTCAGAACTGAATATGGTTTGCCATTTAATGTTAATTGAGATCACATCGTGTCCCCCACTTTAAGTCAATCATTTTTCTTCTTTTTAATCATTGCTTTCCTCTAAGAAACATCTTCACTTTATAGCTTAAGAAAGTGAGGCCAAACATGCAGTCACTTTCAAGGCAGCTAAGCGAATTAATCCATGTGAATTCATGTGAGTGCTTAGAAAAATCTAACATGTCCAAATGACCATTTTGTAATAACTTAGCTTTATTGAACACACTTTTTATTATTTTAACTGTTTACAAAGTACCAGCTAAGCCCTGTAGGAGACCCAAAGGTGTTAGACAGGACGTCTGACCTGCAGGAACGTTCTGTTCAGTGGGTATTAGTATACCAATGCAGATCCGTCTACACCACGGAGAGGGGCAAGCACTGTGGTAGGAGCACAGAGGACTCGCGGGACATGGAATTCTGACTGGGGATGTCCAAGAGGACTTTGAGGAAATACTGTCTCTGAGTTGGAATTTGACAAACAGTAAAAGTAGGTAACATTTATTGAGTACTTACTAAATGTCAGCACTGTTCAAAGTACTTTAAACTTATTAATTCTTTTAATTTTCATGATTAACCTTCTAAGCGAAGTCTTGTTATGATTCCCATTTTATAGTTGCACAAACTGAGGCATAGAGCAGTTGAAATAATTTGCCAAAGGTCATAGAGCTAGAAAGCGATGGAGTGAAGATTCAGATTCAAGGAGTCTTGCACCAGCATGTTCATCCTTAACCATGATGTCTTACCACTTCCTGTCACGATTAAATGAGACGTCACCAAGCAGATTCGAGTAGTGGGAACAGCTCAGCCACAACCTTGGAGAAGGGAAAATTCGGGAATGTTTGAAACATCTGAAGTTTATTAGTGTGATCTGAACTTGGAGGGAAAAAAAGAGGCTGGCGGTAGAATTGAGACATTGGAGAATACGAGATACACAGGATGCAAGGAGGAAGGAGGGCTGGATTGCAGGGTTTGGAGTGTTGGTCTGAGGAACTGCAGTGCGGAGCAGGGGAGCGCCCCGGTGAGATTTTTATCACAGGGGGACCTTGTGGAGGGGAGGATTGAATGATGGAAGAAAAAGACATCATTTAGGGATTATTAATTAAATCAACCACAAACTAATTTCTGAGCTTCTCCTACGTGCCAGGCAGTGTTCTGAGT